TTACCAAATCAAAAGGATTTAATGGAATACATCCTCGAGTCCTGAAAAATTGTGCAGGCGCTTTTGCAGTACCCCTAACACTTATCTTCAATTCCTCGATTGCGACTCAAGAAGTTCCAGATATGTGGAAGAAATCGGAAGTTACGCCAATTATCAAAAAGGGATATAAATTAAACTGTAGTAATTAAAGACCAGTCTTGAAAACATTAATAGCATGTAAAATACTTGAGGGATTAATACACGAATTAATCTCTGAGAACTTGCTAACCAATGGTTTAATTACTAAAGTTCATCCTTTCCTTTTTACATGGTTTTGTAAAAAGGAAAGGATGTACAACAAATCTGTTGGAGTCTGAAGACATTTGTACTGAAGCCACTAATTGTAATTAACCTGTTGATGTTGTCTATACTGATTTAGCTAAGGCCTTTGAAAAGGTACCACACAAAAGACTTATACATAAATTGAAAGCTTACAGCATACAAGGATTGCTCTTAGAATGGATCAAATTATGGCTATCCTACAAAGAGTTACAATAAGACATTACAAATCTGAATGGAAAAAAGTAACGAGTGGCGTTCCTCAAGGATTGTTTTAGGCCCTTTACTTTTTGTGATATACATAAATGACCTACCATATAACATTTCCGGATATATAAAACTTTATGCGGACGACAGCAAAATAATGAAAATAATAAAAACACCAGCTGATGCCCTTTCTTTGTAAAACGATATTGACAAAGCTGTGGAATGGACTAGAGATTGGCACATTTTTTTAATCTTGAGAAGTGTAATGTTATGCATGTTGGTTGCAAAAAAAATTAAATCAACTTTACACAATGTTAGGCTTTCGTCATCAATTAAAATGTACTACATTTGAGTGTGACCTTGGTATTTTTGTGTCTGATGATTTGAAATTAAAATCACAAGTAGATGCAGCAGCAGCAAAAGCAAATTGGAAATTAGATGTGCTAAAAAAAGCGTTCAAAGAACATGGCGTATTCCTCTGGAAAATATCAATGGTCACTTTTTTAGCAATATCAGCAAATTAGAGCCAATTCAACATCGTGCAACAAAATTAATAAACTCCTTGAGACACCATAATTATGAACAAAGATTAGAAGCACTTGGACTGGCAACACTAGAAGCGAGAAGGCAAAGAGGTGATCTTATAGAACAATTCAGAATCAATCAAAATCTCGAACAAGTAGTTTTCTATGTACCACAACGTTACCCATTTTCTAAATCAGCGTCAAGGTGTACAACCTAAGGCGGAACCACAAGTTTATGCTGCAACCGCAGTGAGTCAAAAACTTTATAGAGAGACTCTATAAAGTTTTTGACTCACTGCGGTTGAACTTTTTTACAAATCTTGTTTGTACATCATGGAATGCACTTTTCAGCAACACCATCAACTCAAAATCTGTTAATATTTTCAAGTCAAAATTGCAGCATCAGAACACTCACAAATAATAAAACTGTATGGATCAGATATGTCAGCATAGCAAGGCCTGGCGCCGAGCTCAGTCAAATTTTATAACATTTTTTGTAAAATTTGATTACTGAATAAACTAAACTAAACTAATACCATATATGGTTGACCGAAAATTTATATTTAACAATTTGTTTATAAAAAAATAAGATTCAACATGTGGTAAATTGCGTCTTTCAAAAGTTTTTTTTTCTTGTTGATATCTCTATCCATCTATCTATATCTATCTATCTATCTATATCTATCTATATATATCTATATATATCTATATATCTATATATCTATATGTCTATATGTCTATATATCTCTATATATGTATATATATATATATATATATATATATATATATATATATATATATATATATATATATATATATATATATATATATATATATATATATATATATATATATATGTATATATATATATATATATGTATATATATATATATATATATATATATATTGTATATATATTACTGTTACCCGCAGTATTAGGAATTAGCTAAATGCTAATATTTATAATATTATATTGCGACTTAAAGTTTCATGTGTTACCACAATCATCAGGCAAGTGGTCAAAAGTTAATTTTGCTACAATGTGTTTAGAAAAAATTTATGGTTTATATTAGTATTTTAGATCGTTATGGGACGGAAATTGTTTAGTAGTTAAGGTTAATGTTATTATTAATTTGTTTTTGGTTAATATATGTGAAGTTGTTGTATGTTTTAATGTCTGTTATAAAAATACGATTTAATAATAATGTGAATTGTTTTTAAAAATTATTGTATTAAAAATAAATGAATATAAAAATATGTGGGTATAAGAATATAAATTATATTACGAAATATATTACAAAAGCTGTGTATGTGAATAATTTATTGGTTAGCCTAGAGGTGTACGAAATAGGGTTGCGTAGTTAATGTTAGTGGTTAGTTAGGTTTGTAGCGAGCATTGTAGTTTTTTAATAAAAACTTGTTTTCGTGGCAGCACTTTGATATGGTTTCGTTTCGTTTATTTAGGAGTTCATCAGGTTTAGGATAGGATATAATTGCGAATTTCTCATATAGACATAGTGGGCACCTTTTGGAAATATTTGAGTAGGGAGGGGGGTACAGATTTCAGAATAGACCATATAAATATTGGGGTTTCGTTAAAATTGTTTTTCAAATCCCAGACGTAGTTTGATAAGGCGGTGGATTTTTTGTATTTAAAATTATTGAATGATGATTTGTGATTGTTGTATCTGTTTTTCCACTCGCCTTCCGTTAATCCAATATACACTTTGTTGGGCTGATTTTTAGCTGCGATGATACAGTTATATATAACGTTTGTGAATTTACACTTTCCTTTCATGGGGCATTCTGCTTCCTTTCGACAATTGCATTTTTTTTCATTATTTTCATTTTATGGGAAAATGATTTTTTTGTTATGGTTTTTAATAATTTTTTCGATATTTTCAGTACAGCTGTAGTTTACTTTTAGGTAAGAGGAATTTTGTGAAAGTCTGTTGCTTATTGAAGTAGGTAATTGCTTAAGGATTTGTGGTGGGTGGTTAGAGGATGTATGAATGTATTGAAGATTATCGTTAGGTTTTTTGAATGGTTTATAGGTGTTTTGGGATAAATTAAAAGTAACATCAAGGAAGTCAACCGATTTAAGATTTGTTTTTATATCTATTTGAAAGCCTATGTTTTTAAACTTTTAAATAATGTTTTTTCCAGTTCGTTCAGTTTCTTAGCCGTTAGAACTATGTATTATTAATAAACCGTCATCACGGTATAGCCCTATATCGGTTTTTATAATTATATCAGATATTTCATTGAGTATGTGGATTCCTACGAGTTCGCAAATTTTGGCGCCATCATAGCTGCCCATCGTTACGTCGAAACTTTCACAACTTTTATCCACGTGTTATTGTTGTAGTAGAGGAGGGATTTTTGGCTGTGTTTTATTATTCTAAGTTGGTCGTCTGTTATGGGAGTGCGTTGCTTTGCAAAGGAAATAACTTTATTAAATATTTCGGTTGTAAATATTTAATAAGTATGGGTAAAATTCATTTATATCGAATTGAATGAAGAAACAATTATTTTTGTCTGGAATGTTATTAAATCAATTGATAACATCGGTTGTGTTTTTCTGTTGGTTTACTTTAAGCCTAATTCTTAAGTTAGTGTTTACTGTGTCTAAAATTTTTTTGCTTATTATTCCGATTTCGCTTTTTGCCGGGTTAATGAGGCGGCATGTTGATTTTGATTTAAATAGTTAAATAGTTTTGATAAATCTATATATATATATATATATATATATATATATATATATATATATATATATATATATATATATATATATATATATATATATATATATATATATATAGTATATATATATATATATATATATATATATATATATATATATATATATATATATATATATATATATATATATATATATATATATATATATATATATATATATATATGTATGATAAGATATATTTTTGAGATTAGTACTATATACAGATTTCTTGTTATGCTGCATACGTACAACATACATATTTGTTGTCATGCTGCATACATATTCGTTATTATGCTACATACATATTACATACATATATGCTGTTGTGCTACATATGTTTTACATAAAGCTAAAAGTTAAAATAATCTTTAGTAAATTATACAATTATTTAATGAATGATTAAATAAATAAATGAATTAATGTTTGTAAAATTTAATAGTTAGTATGTATAATTTAATAGTTCAGAAGTTTTCTAATACGTCTTCACAAAAAAGTCACAAATAAAAAAGAAAAGTAAAAGATACTGACTGATTCCTGAAGGATATTGTTTCTTCTCAGTTATACTTTTACCCAGCTGCTCAGGAACCAGCTCCCCATCAATAGGAAATGTTCTCAGATATAAACAGTTTATAAAATTGTTAAAGTTTAAATTTACTAAGCCTGTTGTATCTTGTTCTCAAAGGTTTCCAGACAATGATCTTATTTACAAAGCGGGTCATGCATATATATCCTAATCATAGATAAGCTTTTTCTTTTGTAATGTGAAACAAGGCTGGGTATGGAAAAGTTCTTATTTCTGGAGCTGCTGTTAGGTAGCAAATGATGTAATTTTTTATTGTAAAAAAATAAGTTAATAAATCTAAAAACAAATAATTAAAAACCATCAATAATTAATAAACAACCATTATCTAGGTAATTAACTTCAGGAAATCATCAAACAAATTTTTAAGAGTTCCTTAAATCCATGATATTTTTTCTTGAAAAATGCCTATTTATTTAAACAAATAAAGTTTTACAAATATCACTTTGACATGAACAACAAATTTGTTTTTGATATTTTTAGTCTATATGGGCCTTAAGTGAGAATGGGAAAAACTTGAGAGGTATTTTTTTTGTTACATCATATTATGCACTAATACTTGTTAATATTTTAACATTTAATAGTTTACAAATAAAATAAAAAAGTTTATTTTTTTATATTTCTTTAGGTTGGTTTCCACATCACTGTTTACTCAAAAAATAATAGTTTATTTAATATTATATCTTCGCAAGTTGAATTTGATTCAATTGGTGTTGAAAAATATTTTTATTTAAAAGGCGGATTGAATGAAAGGATTCCAAATACGCTCACATTTTATGGAAAGTCAGTTCATTTTAGAATCTTTAAAAATTTTTTATTTTACTATTTGTAATACATGTAATGATTATTATTTTATATTAACTTTATTATTAATTAATGATTGTTATAATAATTATTTTAAAAGTATTTAAAAATATTAAATTTGTTATACTAAATATACTAAAAGTTATTTAAAATCATTTAACTAATATTAAATATGTTGTATGGTAATATTTCACAATTTGCTATTTGATTGATTATATGATTGAAAAAAAATTTATATATATATATATATATATATATATATATATGTATATATATATATATATATATATATATATATATATATATATATATATATATATATATATATATATATATATATATATATATATATATATGTATATATATTTATAATGCAGTTTATAAGTTGGCATGGTCAAATTTTAAATTAAATTAAATGTTTTTTATAAATGTTTATATAGTTTTCGAACAATGATAAATTGAATAACATTTGTTTCCTTATTAAACGAAAAGCAAGTTGTTACTTAGTCTAAAATGTAAATTTGTAATAAAACGTAATTGTAAACATAATTTATTAAAATTTTCTTGAATACTAACAATTTTTTGAACTTTGTTTTTTTTTAGTTTAATTTTATTTAACTAAAACAAGACAAGTTTTATTCAAGCTTTTCATTTTCTTTTTAAGTAAAGTTTTTTTTGTAATTGTCTCTTGTCTTTCAATTTAGTATTTTTTTTTTAACTTCTCTCTGCATTTTAGAAATGTTATCAAAAGATTTAAGTTTGATTCTTACATTCCAGCATTTTAAAAATGAAATTTTCATTAACAAAAACATATTTAAAATATGAGTTTAAAATGTTACTTATCTTGGGACATAAAGTGTTAATCTTGTTGTTTAAATCATACATAGCACTGATTTGCTTTTTTATTTTTTGCTTTGCTAAATTGCGATTTGGTTAAATTGTTGTCACAGTTTCTGACCCATTGTGTAGTGTCCTTTTCAATTTAATTATGAACCTGCTCATATTTATCAAAAACTTTTATAATTCAGGTTTGCTGGACTAAAATCCATAATTGGTTCCTCAATCCGAAAAAGTTGTGCAACTGATCATTCATCCAGGATAGTTTAACTTTATGAAGTAATTTCTCACTACAAGATATCCATTTATTGCATAAATGATTGTACTCAATAAAAAAAGTTTTTAGCATTGTGTTTTTAGAAGCATTTGTAGCATTGTGTTTTGTTGTGTAGAAGTAAACAAAAAATCAACAATTTTTGGTATCAAGATTTAGATTTTTAAAGTCAGTTAAAATTAAACTACACAAATAGAGGACTTTTTCAGTTTCTGCTATAGTCAAAAGCCAGTCAATAGGCAGGTAGTGTTGGCTGGTGGTATTCCAAAGTGCTCGATGTTTTATAAGCTGTTAGATATAATGGATATATGGATATATTTATAAGTTAATATTAAGTCTAGAAAACTTTTATATTTGCTACAGAACAATTGAAAGTAATAATTGAAATCAATAGCGATAACAATAATGATAACAGTAATAAAAAGTCAACCAACCACTTGACCACTTAAAAAATAAAATAATTTTTTTAAACATCTTTTCTTGCAATAAAGCTGCAAGCAACCACTATTAGAGTTGGAAGTTACAGGAAGAGAAAAGATGAAGTTTATAAAACAAGATAAGACGACTTAAAAGATCGCAAATTATATGAATCAGGAAAGCAAGATGATGGAAGCAAACTCCAAAGAACTGATATTTAAGGAAAAAAACTAGATGAATAAGAGTTTTTAGAGCACTTTAGAGAACAGCCACAGTAAAAGGATGAGACTTAATTGAGTGACGAGTAACACAAGAATAAATTTTAGTAGGTGGCACAAGCAGCGCTAGCTCTTTAGAGCAGTGCCCATTTAAGTGTTTGTACAAAAGAGAAAGAGAAGCAATAGTACGACGATGTGGTAATGGTTGGAGGTTGGCTGCAAGAGCAGGTGCAACTCTGTTTACAATGCATTTTTGTACCTTGTCTAAAAGAGAAAGGACATCATTGGAAGATCTACCCCAGATATGACAACAATATTCCATACAAGGATGAATTTGATATTTATCGAGATAAAACCTATTGGTTATTACTGTTAACAAATCAGCTATCAGTAATAACCGATTAAGTGTTTGTTAAATAAAGATTCAAAAATCTTGCTCATGATAGGAAGAAGACTAATTGGACGGTAGTTAGATGATGGCTTTCCAAGATTTTTTGAAAATAGAGATAACAGATGCTGCTATCCAGCCTGCTGGAAAACAAGACTCTGATAAGCACTTATTAAATAGTTTTGAAAGTATAGACGACAGCTCCGGAGACAACTTCTGTAAGACTATAACAGATATGTTGTTGGAACCACAAGCTATAGAGGAGTCTTAGCAGGAAATCATTTTAGATACAGAAGCTTCAGTGATACAAATATCAAGCAATGGATCAATCTGTTTGTCGGCTATATCAAGTAGAATGTAACTAGTGGAACCGAGAGACGATATTGATGAAAATTTCTTAGCAAACAAATCAGCTTTGCCTTGAGGTGTGGTGACAAAATCTGAAGCATACAAAAAAGGGTGGAGTAACAGATTTCCCCTTTTTATTAACACTGTTAAAGATTCACTAGATGTCATGAGAGCCTAATTTTTGAGATGAAATATGAGATTTCATTACCTGAGAATTGCTTGCTTTGTCATTAGACAAAACTTTTTTACAATGGTTTATAGTAGTAATAAACAGACGTCTGTTTTCTGGAGAATTGTTTTGCTTTTAGATGGAGAAGTAATGGTTTCAATTAGAAATTGCAGCAGCACAATGTGATGAAAACCATGGAAAAGAGTGAGGCTTGACTTGGAATTATTGAGAGGGAATAAAAGATTCCATGCCAGCCTGAATTCACGAAGTTATGTGAAAAGCACATTTGTCAGCAGAAAGATGAAAGATTTCTACTCAAGAATCATCAAAAAAAAATCACCAAAAGAGTCCCAGTCAGCTTTAAGGTAGTTGAAAGAAGTATGATGATAGGGGGATTCTGATGATGAAAAATAATGAGATAATAGTTTTAAAGAGATCAAACTGTTCTCAGAAGTACCTTAGAGTGAATGTGGAGAAACTGAGCACTGACTAGGATCAGAAACAAGACGCTAGAGAAGGTAAATGATTCTGGTTGTCTGGAAAGCGAGTTGAAAGTTGACTGTTTAAGTTAGAGATCGAGAAAGGTTAAGGTTGTGGGCCTTAATGCCTGCAGATTCACTAAAACTAGCGTCAAGCCATTTAGTGTGATGAGCAATAAAGTCACCAACAACAATGATATTGGCTGATGGATAAAAAGAGAGGGCTTGGTCAATTTTATCAGAAATAACATCATAAAGAGTGCAATCTTAAGATAAAGGAGAGCAATATAGAACAAAGAGAAAGTGAAGTTGTGCTAAACAAAAGCACATAAAAGAATGGTTGGTGGATTCAAATCTATTTACCTGACAAATAAGTGATTTCTTGCGAATATAAATGCCCAGGCCAAGCATGTGACTATTGGCAATATATGCTAACATGTGACTATTTTATTATATATATATATATATATATATATATATATATTAAAATTGCTTGCTAAACTTTAATTTTTGGCATAATATGACTACTAAAGTTTTATAAATGAAATATTGATAAATCAAAAATATACTTTTTTTTTTAAATTAACTGATTGCCTGTCTAAACCAAAACTCTTAGTTATTGTATGTTAACTCTTTACATGTTCCTCCTATTTAAGTCAGTCAATATATGCACTCATTTTGCGTTTTATTCCCTATTTTAGCCAATTGCGCTGCCTCAATCCCAAAATTGTTTAACCATTTGAAAATAAATTTTTAATGTGTGTTGGGTTATTCATCCTTACATCATCTTTTATCACTCCATTAAATAAGAATTAAGGACTTTAGTTTCAAGTGACCTTTAGACTTTTTTTTTTTTTTGATATTTCTGTAGCATTATGCAATTTTATAGATGGTATCCTTAAGTCAGTCAATATATGCACTCATTTTGCGTTTTATTCCCTATTTTAGCCAATTGCGCTGCCTCAATCCCAAAATTGTTTAACCATTTGAAAATAAATTTTTAATGTGTGTTGGGTTATTCATCCTTTCATCCTTACATCATCTTTTATCACTCCATTAAATAAGAATTAAGGACTTTAGTTTCAAGTGACCTTTAGACTTTTTTTTTTTTTTGATATTTCTGTAGCATTATGCAATTTTATAGATGGTATCCTCTAAAATTTTAAAAGATTTATGAAATAAAGAAAATATAAAAAACAAATCAGTAAACAATCAAGGTGTACTAGCTGCATCATTTATAAAAAATGTGTGAGAAGGATAACAAAACATGTAGTTAGCGTGGTAACTGTTAATGGACAACAGCAGCAGTAAAAAGTTGTTAGCTGTACTTGAATAGTCACATTAAATGGGAATGCAATGTTTGTGGAAGCACAACCAAAATTGTAGTTGACTTCAAACCACTTGGTTATTGTTTTTTGATATGTATAAATGAAATGGTGGCTCTTGGTGATATGTATAAATGAAATGGTGGCTCTTGGTGGAGTATTAACATCTGCAACTCGTAATATTTTTATTGTGGAAAAAAAAAATGTTTACTTGGACTATAAAGTGGTATGCCAAAAAATGTTAGTGGTATGAATATAATAGCTCTAAAATATTTAAATTTCCCTTAAATCTAAATATTATTAAGAAATTTTTATTTCAAATTTGATGACTCAGCAAGTTAGCAATAATAAATTATACTCAGTAATTAACCAGTATTTTGGGACATATGTAGCAACAGAAAGTGTTTGTATTTTAAAAACTGAATAGCTTAATAATTATATAAAACTATTCCATTTTTAATACAATACATTTTTGATGTTTAAAATGGTTGTTGCTTCAAAGGTTTTATTTTGAAATTTTACATTATGATTATTTGATTTTAAATCTTTTTTTAAATGCAAACTTTTATTTAGACATAAAATAGAATTTGGTGACAGTATATCAAGTAACTTAAAAAATAAGAGAGAATCTTTTTTAACCATTTTAAATGATTAACTATTTGATATCTATTATGATAGTTAGAAGATAGTTTTTTTTTCTTTTAACAAAACCTTTATTTGCACACTGAAAGTAGTTTGTTGGTTATTAAGTATCTAAAAAGAATATGCAAATATAACTGAGTTAAGATAAATGCTATATGAAGCATCAGTTTATTGGGTAATTATAATTTATCATTCTGTTATAACTAAAAAACAAATCTAAAAAAATTACTTTTTGATGTATTAGAAATAACTATCTGTTCATATTTTTTATACTTCAAGAAGAAGCTCTTTGAATATTCACACTTTTGTTCTTGATGTTTTTTATTAATGAAATGTATTCTATTAATTCTATTATAAAATTTAATAAGTTATATTGTGTTTGGTTTTTTGAATCTAATTTAATTATGACTTATAATTTTTTCAACTTTTAGATTAACTTGTGATGGCAACCTAAAACCCCCAGAATGTGTTGAGAAAGTATGTGTTGAAAAGGATGATGATATTAATGGACATTATACATGCGATAAAAATGGAAGTATGATTTGTAGAGAAGGATGGGAAGATCCTTTTACTAACTGTCTTAAAAGTAAGATTTAAAAGACATATAATAATGTTAAAAGAAAAATTTAAACAAGTAAATTAGTCTTGAAACATATGCAAACAATGCAGTTCCCAAAAATTTTCTGAGTTCATTTAACCAGAAGACATTTTAAAATATTGATTTTTTTTTAGTTTCTGAAAAAATATCAAATGTTCCCTAAATGAAAAAAATAAATTATTTTGTGCTCCATGATTCCGTGCCATACTTTAAAGGTTTTGACGTTTAACTTATTACAAATATATATATATATATATATATATATATATATATATATATATATATATATATATATATATATATACACATATTTGTATAAATATATAAAATATTTGTAAAAATATATATATTTGTATATATATATAAAATATATATATATATTTTGTATACCAGTTTATATATATATATATATATATATATATATATATATATATATATATATATATATATATATATATATATATATATATATATATATATATACATATATATGTGTGTATATAAAACAAAAACAAAACAAAAAGAGATTTGTAGTTGCAAAAAAAAACAAGGAAAATGAAGAAGCTTCCAAAGAAAAAATTAAGAAAAATATTCTACAAGAAAAAACCTTTAAAAAAGCAATCCTTCATAAAATATTGTCCAATCAATAGACCTACAAATTTTAATTAATGAGAGTACATATAACCTCAATGATAATGGATTCAATGACATAGCAATACTGATATTTTTGATGTGCCAGAAGGAAGATTTATAATTGTAAAGGTGTATGGACGTGGAAAACAATCAGGTCAGAAAAATATAGTAAAAGTTGTTAAAAAAGCTAAAAGTGATTATGAAGTGGAGTTTTACAAAAGAATCTTTTCCAATAGATTTACAAGAAATAAGGAAGAATCTGTGTTTGTTGTCTATAAAGATGTGGTGCTTGAATTGCCAGTTCCTACAATGGAAAAGAGGTCTTGTGTTAAGGACATTATATATTTTTGACAAAAAAGTTACTTTCAAAAAATGGAATAGTTATTAATATGTTTTCTCTATATTTTGAACTTATAGAGAAGCTAGTCTAACACTGTAACTGATATACACTAGTCTAACACTGTAACTGATATACACTAGTCTAACACTGTAACTGATATACACTAGTCTAACACTGTAACTGACACTTGTTACAATGTATGAAAAACAAAGTGAATAAACCTGAATATTTAAAATGGTATTTAATGAAAAATTTCAAAAGTTTTATATTGGCTCTTTAGGTGTACAAAAAACCGCAATACTTTGGTGGTAATTTTTACCTTTTAACTGGAAAGCCAAAATTTTTGCGTTTAGTATTTTGTTAAACTATTTTTTAAGAAGAAATTTTTTTAGTGGTCTCAATTAGGCAGTAAATCAAAAAAATGTTTTTCTTAGAAATTATAAGTTTTTTTTTTCATGGTGATGATGTGTATTGTGATGCAAATAACAAAGAAAAAGCAGAAACAGTTTTAGCACTAATGCTCATTTGACTTTTTGGTGGGCCATAACTTTTTTGCATGTTTGTTTTTCAATAAACATGATAGAAAAATTAAATCATTAAACCATAGTTGCTGATGGATTTGAATGTAGAACTGTCAATCAAAACTGTCAATCAAAACTTTAATAATGTAGAACTGTCAATCAAAAAACATTTCAATATTTCAATGCAAAAAATGTCTTTTAATGTAATAAAATACTTTTAATATAATAAAATACTTTTTTTTTAAATGATACTGTACATATTTTAAATGTATTTGAAATAAATGGATCACAGAAAAAATACAATGTTTAAAATATACATTGCCAAATGATAATGATACTGTGCAACTTGCAAAATGGAAATTTATAATTCAACTTCATGCTACAGATCTTTAAATTTTTAAGTTGTCACTTTTAACTCAAATAGCTGTATCACCAAAACCTATTGAATGATAAAATGTTTTTAAAGTTTTTTTGTGATTGAACTGCTTTGTTACACGTGAAATTTCTTAAAACTGATTTCTTAAAAAAAATCACTTTTCATTGAAACAGTTGTTAATCGGTGACTTATTTGTCAGCAGTAAAGTAAAAGTTCTAGATATTATATTAAATGATATTTGAAGAAAGCCTGTTACTGTTACCTGTTAGTCAATGATTAGTAAATAGATTTATTAGAAAACTGTATTTCCTATTTTGCTGAAAATTTGAAATGCATTTATTTAAAATAAAGAGAGAAAAAGTTAACAATGAGTACTGTGAGTGTCTTGCAACAAACTTCTAAAAGATTAGTAAGTTGTGCAAAGTTTTATTTGAATTGCTGTGTATCTTATGTATTGTAGGTATCGTATTGTATCAAGTAGTGGATTATAGTCAACAGTAAAGCAAAAGGTCAGGATATCAGATTAAATGGTATTTGAGAAAAGCCTATTACTTTGGCAAATAGATTACTTTTTAAAATTGTGATATTAAAATAATTAACATTAAGTTGCTGAATCTTGCCAGTCATGAAAATATTATTTAAAAAGGGTAAAATAAACTGATTTTTCTATAAACCAAATCAATATAAAACATTTCTCAAAAACATCCTAAGTAATGTTTAAAGTTTTAGACTAGAATATTTTTTAGTCAAATCAAAAATAACCAACTGATGTTAGTTGTACAAAAACTGGCCAATTAATTCGATGATGATTAATTGGTACATCACTACTGTTAGTCTTTTTGGTGTGCATTGCTGAGGCCATACAAGAAGTCCTTTTTTACAACTTTGGGTTAATTAGGGACTGGGACTGAGTCAGCTGCATTACTTGGCTATTTATCATTGATTTAAGTTTCCTCATAACTTATGACTAAAATACCTATACTTAAAATGCTACTAAATTATTAAACATAAAAAAGCATCACAACCACCTAATTGTTTAAATCTTTTTTATTTGAATATTTGTGGTCTTCAAAGTAACTTTTCATCAGTTGAATCTTACCTTCTGCAAAATTTACCAAACTTATTTGCTCTTTAAAAAAATAATTTGAATTTGCTGTTTTGTCTTTAGGTCTCCTTGTTGATAGGTATTATCCCTTGGTTAATGAAGACTCTTGTTATCACATGCTTTGTCTGGACATATATGTATGCATCAGTTATTTGTATTATGTACCTATTTGTTGAATCAGGTTTAAACTCTCCAATCATACTTTTATGTACTTCCTTTCAGCACCTCTTCAATAAACCACCTTTCTATTTACTCTTTATCATTCTACTTTTTTTTAAGACTACACTCTTTTTGATGTTATTATATTGACCAAGCCCTTTCTCTTGATCTTTCGCCCAATCAAACTACTTGCTACTATCATAAGCCTGACTAAGATTTTTATTTTTATTTTTTTTGGTGATGATTTCTGCTGATAATTGTTCCTCCTACATAATCCTGGATCCAGGCATTTTTGAAAGTTTTTATTGCTTGTCAGTTTCAATTTTCAAAGCCTTGTTTTACCAGTTACCTTGTCAGTTTCAATTTAACCTCTTTGTTGTTGTTTTTACCACATACAGCTGCTATTTCTAATCTTAATAATTTTTTTTATCTTTTTCAAAAGAACAACTCTCTTGAGACCATTTTTTTATTGTTGCAAGAAGTCAATGTGAAAAGTGCTGTTTGATCCTAAATGTCAATATTTTATTTTTACCAAATCTTGTGTTTTATCTCAGAAATTAGGTTCTAGAGACATCTGAAGAATCTTCAACAGTCACATTCACAAAGAAAAGTCCATCTTTAATACATGAATCCTATCTTATTATCTCTTCCAATAATATTCCTGTCATAATCTTATGTATTTAATCAGTAATCAGTATGACATTCATCTTATTATCTCTTCCAATAATATTCCTGTCATAATCTAATGTATTTAATCAGTAATCAGTATGACATTCATCTTATTATCTCTTCCAATAATATTCCTGTCATAATCTTATGTATTTAATCAGTAATCAGTATGACATTCATCTTATTATCTCTTCCAATAATATTCCTGTCATAATCTTATGTATTTGTTCTGCAGAACTCTTTTTAATGCTCTCCAAACTGTTTGATAAATGCCTGACTGAATTAGACACCTGAATTAGAGCTCTCTTCAGTTCTCTTTAAACTGTTTAATAAGAGCTTGACTGAATCTTGTTTTCCTACCTGCTGGAACAGTTATTTGGTTCTTGTTTTTAAAAACTCCACAGTATGATTCCTCTAACTATTTTCCAATCATCTCCCTTATTTCCCTATTTTCCAATCATCTCCCTCTATTATTAGCAAGGTCTTTCAGTCTTTAATTAACAAATTACTAATATTTTATCTTGAGCTTAATAACATTCTTTTTGACAATCAGTATGACATTCATTATCTTGTTCTACAACTGACTTGTTAACTTGTTAAAGAAAGGTTCTATTGCATATTTTATGGTATCAGCAAGGCTAAGGCTATTGCACTTGAGATATCAAAGGCTTTCAACAATGTCTAGCATGCTGGTCTTCTCCAGAGGCTCAATTTATATAGTATCTCTAGGAAAGTTTTTCAGATTACTAACTCATTTCTTTCTAACTGTTTTACCATAGTCATCTTCAAGGTCCAACACCTTGCGAATAACAGACAGAAGACTGATCAGACAATAGTTGGAGGTCAGAATATTCTCCAGAGTTTTTAAAACATGGAACCAAAGTTGCCATTTTCCAGCAAGCAGAAAAACAATATTCAGTCAAGCTCTTATTAAATAGTTAGAGGAATCATAGAATCATATTCTCTGGAGTTTTTAAAACATGGAACCAAAGTTGCCATATTCCAGCAAGCAGAAAAACAAGATTCAGTCAAGCTCTTATTAAATAGTTTAAAGAGAGTTGAAGAGAGTTCTACAATTTTGTAAGACTATGATAGAAATGTGGTCTTGAGTAGAATGAAGCTTGACTTGGAACTAATGTTAAGGAATAAGAGTTTCTATACCTGCCTGGATGCAGTTAACATCTGCCCAAGATGGGTATTTTTATCGAGACATCATCTCTAGCGTTTACTCAACCAAGAGCCAAAAGGCAGGGGAATTTTTGCTGGATGCAATTAACATCTGCCCATGAGTTTTACATTTCAGTTTATAAGTTTAAAAGTATTACTCTAAAAACTAATTTTTTTCAATTGTATTTTGTTCCATTTGGTGGCCAATTTTACTCTTAGAAATACCTTATCATCTTAATATGGACCATTTTAGTATAAAATTTTTATTCTTTTTATTTATTTTTTACTTTTTTTATATAACCTTATTTTTTTATTCTAATAAATACAATGTTATGTGGTTAACAAGTTATAGTTATGTAAGTTTATGGTTTATAGTGTTATGTCAGTTTTTGTTGGTCTGTTATGTAAGTTAAGTTTTTGTTGACATGGAAAAAAAATTGATGGAAAATAAAAATTTAAGATTACCTTTTATTTTATTTTATTCGAGTTTTTATTTTATTCAAGTTAGGTAAATTGAAGCTATATGATTTCTATGTGATATAAAAAAGAAAAAAGATTGTCTAGAATTTTCACTTTATGTCAACAAGAAAAAAATTGCAAATTTAAAAAAAAAAAAAAAGATTTTATTGCTTTGATTGTTTTGGGAGAAAAAATGGTCAAACAAACAAAAAAAAATTATCTAGTGATTGTGTAAAACCTAAAACAAAAGTCAACTCATAAATCTGCTGTTATGTTAATAAAATAAAAATTCTATCTTGCAGTTGTGTAAATCAACAGTCAACTCATAAATCTGCTGTTATGTTTATAAAAAAAAATTCTAATGATTGTGTAAATCAAAAGTTAACTCATAAATCTGCTTTTATGTTTATAAAAAAATATTCTATCTAGCGGTTGTGTAAAACATAAACCACTTTGTTCTTTTCTCCATAAGACTAATTACAAAAATCATAAAAACCAAATAACCCACAAAACTAAATTTCATCTACTTAAGTTTAGTTTTGAAACTAAAATATTTGAAACAAAAGTTAACTCATAAATTTGCTGTTATGTTTATAAAAAAATATTCTACCTAGAGGTTGTGTAAAACATAAACCAAAAGTTAACTTACAAAAGTAAACCTTAAACCTAGGTTAATGGTTAATAAAACTTAAACTTTAATCAAAAAAACTTATAAAAAGTTTTAATGATTAACCTTAAGGTTTTATACAAACTTAAATTACTTTTAAATTTTTTATAAAAACATTTTATGTAATAAATGCAATAATAAAGTAAGCAATACAAGTCTTGATCAAGAAGATTTTTAGAGTCTTACTAACTGATATGATTTAATTGAGTCTTGTGTAAAATATTTGCTTGTTTTAATACCACATTTAAATACATTCAAAAAAATACAGTTGTGTTAGTGTTTATGTGAGACTTTTCATAATAAAGGTTTTTAAAAGCAGTCAAATCTGATTATTGATTTTTTTTTTTTAATGCACATGCTTGTTAAATAAATGCTACTTAAATGAATGTTTTGGTTTTAATGCTTTCTAAAAAAAAAAATTTCTTCAGTGATTCAGAATCTACTTTCAAAAATATATACATCCACCAGTTTTCAAAAAAGTTGGTTTGTTATATCAAATTTTAATGCTTAATAAAACCAGTTGATTTTTTGAATTTGGTTTAGCCTTGATGGTTCATGGTTCATCTGCCAATGTGCAATTGCAAACATCGTTTACACAGTTGCAAGCATTGTTTACACAGTTGCAACCATTGTCTACACTATTACAGCCATCTATTTCACAGCTTCAACCATCAATGTCTTCTTTATTTAAAAATTTTATTAATAACAGTAAGTCCATATTGAAAATCAATCAAATTTGAGTATGAAGCTATCAAGACAAAATCTCTGTGAAAAAGATTTATATTATATGAAGCTATATTTTTAGCTTTCTAGATTTTACTCTCTTGTTTTTAACTGTAATGTGTGCATTTATTTTGTTAAGATTTGCAAGGTTATACTTTTACTTCTTCTATTCTACGCACATCACCATTTCAATCTTCAAATCTCCAAAGATATTCTGGTATATTTGTTTTTATACTTTTGTTAAGGCCATTTTCCACAAGACAAAATATTCGCACAAAGTGAATTTTTTTGCTATGACAAAACGTTGTTTTGATTTCCACTTATTTTCTTTTGTGCTACTTTTTTTTGTTATCAACAATAAAAATGGCAGCAATAAGTTTACGATGTATGTTTAACTAAAATCATTAGTTACATTTTTTACTTTCTACTTTGAAACATGTGGAAATTTCTTTCCATGCATTAATTTTAAGATTTCTGTTTTTGTATATAAGATGTGATATCATTTTGTAATATAATAATTTAGTATAAGGCTTTTTATAAGAAAGTTTAAGAAATAAATGCTAAACTCTAATATGAAAATTTCTGTTAAAAAACTGTTACTGCAACGAACAGCAGGTTTAAACTGGATTTTTTACAAAAAAGTTTATCTTCGTGTGACCACTCGAAAATATATCTTCTTGTTAAGTGTAACTTTCAGAATTGACACTGTGCAAATTTAAATTTGTAAATTCTTGATTTAAGTCTTGCTTCTTACTTGATGAATTTACTAATGTTTGCCAATGTTCAAAGTAAGTTCATAAAAAATCAATAAGAACGCCAGGTTGAGAATTTTGTTCCTTTGATATTTTAAAAACAGCATGCTCTTGCTTTTTTTTACTGTTGACATCACATGATATAATATTTGAAACTTAATTGGTTTTTGCTTATTGGGATTTGCAAAAAGTTGAAATAAATTCAACTTTTTTTTTCATTGCATAATTCCCAGAAATGTTTTATCTGCACATGCTTATCAACAAAAAAAATTGCTTTGTGTGAATGTATTGTTTTGTGGAAAGCGGATTTTATATGTTATAAATTACTTATGCACTTTTATCAGTTATCTATGTTCTTTGTAAAATAAGTCTATGTTAGATGTTATACCATAATCTGCTCTACTGAGACCAGCAATGTAAATTTTGGTTTACTCTAAATTTTTTTTGTCTAATTTATTATTGGTTTTGTGTTTTAAAATGTTTTCAAAACCTAAATTAGCTAAATTAGATAAAAATAAATATTGAAGAGATCATTCATATAATTATCAAAATATCCTTTTTTTCCTTTTTTTTTTCCTAATTTTTAAAAATTTCCTAAAGAAAATTTGAAATATTATCATTATATTTTAAAATTTCTTAATTGTATTTCAAGTTAACTAAAATTGACTTTGAAAAGTTGACTTAAATTTATGCTTTCAAAAAGTTTAAATAATTAATAATATATAAGTATTAAAAAGATAAATATAAAAAAAAAATTATTAATAGACAATTAGATTGTATATAGATTATAGATGTTGATTATAGATTTGTAGATTATTATATAGATTAAAGATTATATATAAATATTTAGATTATATATAGATATTGATTATATAAAGGTATTTCACTAATACCAGATAATCATTTGGGTTTTTTCTTTTATTTTTTTCTGTTAACAAAATTTGTTTGAAAATTTATACCCCTTTAATTTTTAAATATACACCATTTTTATAACAAATTAATAAGTTTTATAATTTAAATAAATTTAAGGATATTTTAACAGATGATCTTTAGTCTAGATGGAAGTGTTCTATTACCTTCCCCCCCCCCCCCTTTTCTCTCCATATGTTATTATAGATTGAATCTGTTTTCATAAATAAAATAAAAAGAAGTTTTAAAGGATTTCAAAGTTTATTTCAAAACACTTTAACTAATTTAACTAATTTTTTTTTCTTTAACAAACCTAATTAATTTAAAAAAAACTAGAGTAAACTAAATTGAATAAACTAAATTGACCTTAAAAGTCTCAAGAAAGTGCTTTGGTTTCTCATGTTTTGTTATGTTATACCCATTTTTCATGTGACATAATCTATCTATGTTTTATATTATTGATGTTTTAGTGACTTTAATTTGTTTATCTAGATAAGAATTCAATTGTACCTTTTTCTTATACGTCTGCATTGTCAGTACAACAATCCCTATTAAATTCATCCGCTTTGTTATTAAAAGTTTCAGAATCTAATAGATCTATATTGTTATCACAAGTTTCAACATCTACAATATCAGCTTTGTTATCAGAAGTTTCAATATCAAATGTATCTGATTTGCTATCAAAAAATTCACCTTTATCTACATCAGCATCGTTATCAGAAGTATTAACATCTAATTTATCCGATTTGTTACTGCAAGTTCTACCATCTCCAACACAAGTTATGTTATCTGAAGTTTCAACATCAAGTATGCTTATGTTGCCTTCAAAATATAATCCTTTGTTTACATCAGCTTCGTTATCAGAAGTTTTAACATCAAGTTCATTAAATTTATTTTTACAAGTATCGCCATCTCCTACACAAGCATTGTTACCTGCAGTTTCAACATCTAGTGTGTATGCTTTTGCTTCAAAAGATTCATCTTTACCTACTTTAGCATCTTTATTTAAAGCTGTGACATCTGGTTTAAAGGGTTTGTTATTACCAGTCTCACCAACAACTACATCAGCTTTGATTTTGAATGGTTCAGCATCAAGTATGTCTGCTTTGCTTTTAGCAAATTCACCTTTGCTTTCATCAGTATTATTATCAGAAGATTCAACATTCAAGCCATCTGATTTGTTATTGCAAGTTTCTCCATCATTTACATCAGCTTTATTATCTGAGGTTTCAACATCTAGTTTGTTTGTTTTGACTTCAAAAAATTTTCAATTATCTACATCAGCATTGTTATCAGAAGTATTAACATCTAATTTATCCGATTTGTTACTGCAAGTTCTACCATCTCCAACACAAGTTTTGTTATCTGAAGTTTCAACATCAAGTATGCTTATGTTGCTTTTGAAAAGTTCATCTTTACCTTTTTCAGCATTATCATCAGAAGTTTTAACAACTAATTCATCTACTTTTTTATTGCAAGTTTCACCATCACCTTCATCAGCTTTGATTTTGAATGGTTCAGCATCAAGTATGTCTGCTTTGTTTTTAAAAAGTTCACCTTTATCTTCTTCTGCATTATTATCAGAAGTTTTAACAACTAATTCATCTGCTTTGTTATTGCAAGTTACACCTTCTCCTACATCAACCTTGTTATCTACAGTTTCAACATCAAGTGTGTCTGTTTTGCCTTCAAAATATAATCCTTTGTTTACATCAGCTTCGTTATCAGAAGTTTTAAGATCAAATTCATCTAATTTGTTATTACGAATTTCACCATCTCCTACACAAGCATTGTTATCTGCATTTTCAAAATCTAGTGTGCATGCTTTTGCTTCAAAAGTTTCATCTTTACCTACTTCAGCATTTTTATTTAAAGCTGTGACATCTGGTTCAAAGGGATTGTTATTACCAGTCTCACCAACAACTACAACAGCTTTGATTTTGAATGTTTCAGCGTCAAGTATGTCTACATTGCTTACAAAAAATTCACCTTTGATTACATCATCTTCGTTATCAGAAGTATTAACAGCTAATTTATCTGATTTGTTATTGCAAGTCTCACCAACTCCAACACAAGCTTTGTTATCTGAAGTTTCAACTTCAAGTTTGTCTACTTTGCTTTTAAAAAGTTCACCTTTTCTTTCATCAGCATTATTGTCAGAAGATTCAACATTTAAGTCATCTGATTTGTTATTTCAAGTTACACCATTTTCTACATCAACTCTGTTATCTAAAGTTTCAACATCAAGTGTGTCTGTTTTGGCTTCAAATATTTTTCCATTATCTACATCATCTTCGTTATCAGAAGTATTAACATCTAGTTTATCTGATTTGTTACTGCAAGTTCTACCATCTCCAACACAAGCTTTGTTATCTGAACTTTCAACATCAAGTTTGTCTACTTTGCTTTTAAAAAGTTCACCTTTGCTTTCATCAGGATTATTACCAGAAGTTTCAACATTTAAGTCATCTGATTTGTTTTTTCAAGTTACACCATCTCTAACATCAGCTTTGTTATCTAAGGTTTCATCAAGTGTGTTTATTTTGCCTACAAAAAATTATTCTTTGTTTACAATAGCTTCGTTTTCAGAAGTTTTAACATCAAATTCATCTAATTTGTTATTAGAAGTTTCACCATCTCCTACACAAGCTTTGTTACCTGCAGTTTCAATATCTAGTGTGTATGCTTTGGTTTCAAAATATTCACCTTTACCTATTTCAACATTGTTATTTAAAGCTGTATCATCTGGTTCAAAGACTTTGTTATTACCAGTCTTACCAACAACTACATCAGCTTTGATTTTGAATGTTTCAGCATCAAGTATGTCTGCTTTGTTTTCAAAAAATTCACCTTTGCTTTCATCAGCATTATTATCAGAAAATTCAACATTTAAGTCATCTGATTTGTTATTACAAGTTTTGCCATCTCTTACATCAGCTTTGTTATCTGAGGTTTTAACATCAAGTGCATCTGTTTTGGCTTCAAATATTTTTCCATTATCTACATCAGCATCATTATCAGTAGTATTAACAGCTAATTTATCTGATTTTTTATTGAAAGTCTCACTATCTCCAACACAAGCTTTGTTATCTGAAGTTTCAACATCAAGCGTGTTTGCTTTGGCTTCAAAGTGTTCACCTTTACCTACTTCAGCATTGTTTTTTAAAGTTTTAACATCTAATTCAAAGGCTTTGTCATTACAAGTTTCACATTCATCTGCCTCAGCTTTGATTTTGAATGTTTCAACATCAAGTATGTCTGCTTTGCTTTTGAAAAGTTCACTTTTATTTTCATCAGCATTATTATTGGATGTTTTAGCATCTAGTTTATTTACTTTGTTATTTCAAGGTTCACCATCAATTTTATCAAGTTTGATTTTAACTGTTTCAACATCAAGTGTGTCTGCTTTGCTTTTGAAACGTTCAACGTTACCTTCATCATTATTATTGGAAGTTTTAACATCTAGTTCAACGGCTCATTTACAAGTTTCACCATCACCTTCATCAACATTTAGTTTATTTGTTTCAACAATAAGTGTGTCTGCTTTGGCTTCAATAAATTTACCTTTACCTTCAGTATCTATAGTTAAAGTTTTAACATCTAATTCAAAGACTTTGTCATTACAAGTTTCACCATCACCTTCATCAGCTTTGATTTTGAATTTTTCAACATCAAGTATGTCTGTTTTGGCTTGGAAAAGGTCATGTTTGCTAACATCAGCATCTTTATTCAATGTTTTTAAAACTACTTCATCTGCTTTGTTAATGCAAGTTTCTTCATCGCCCTCGTCAAGTTTGTTATCTGAAGATTTAACATTAAGTTTGTCTGCTTTGGTTTCAAAAAGCTCACTTTTATCTACTTCAGCATCGTTGTTTAAAGTTTTAACATCTGGTTCAATGGCTTTGTTATTACCAGTTTTACCATCACCTACACCAGCTTTGATTTTGAATGTTTCAATATCAAGTATGTCAACTTTGCTTTCAAAAAGATCAACTTTGCTTTCTTCAACATTATTATCAGATGTTTCAACATTTAAGTCATCTGCTTTGTTATTGCAAGTTTTATCTCCTACATCTGGTTTGTTAACTGAGGTTTCAACATCAAGTGTATCTGTTTTGCCTTCAAAATGTCCCCCTTTATCTACATTAGCATCTTTATTGGAGAGTTTAACATATAATTCATCTGATTTGTTATTGCAAATTTCACTATCTCCTACACATGCTTTGTTATCTGAAGTTTCAACATTAAGTTTGTTTACATCAAGTTTTTCAACATTAAGTGTGTCTGCTTTGGTTTCAAAAAATTTAACATCTGCTTCATTATTGGATGTTTCAACTTATAGTATATCCATTTTGTTGCTACAAGGTTTACCTTCAACTTTAATCACCTTGTTAGCTTCAACATCAAATGCATCTACTTTGCTACTGCCAGGTTCAAACTTGGCTTCTAATGAATTTTCGCCTAAAGTTTTACAATCTAATCAATCTTCTTTTTTATTGCATAATTTATCAACAACAGAATCAATTTTACTTGCATCAAGTTGGTCTTTTGTTATGTCTACTTCATTGCAAAGTTTAAATCTAAATTCATCTGTTTTAGTATTGCAAGGTGCTACGCCAGTTAGTTCTTTTTTATTATTGCAAGGTTCATCAACTACATTGACTTGGTTAATTAAATATTCAATGTCGACATCACCTGTTAGTTTACTTCACAGTTCAGCATTAACAAATGGCTTGTTTCCCAAAGTTTCACCATCAAATAAAACTGCTTTATTTGTGCAAGTTTCATCATCAATTGTTTTAAAAAACTCTAGCAGTGAGTTTCAATTATGATTATTATGATAATAATAATATCATAATTCTAATAATATTATGAATTATATTAATTTATTATAATTAATTTTATAATATTATTATAATTAATTATATATTCTTATAATTATTTATAATAATATTATAAATTTGAGTTTCAATTAATAATTAGGATTAATTATAGTATTTATAAAAGGTTGTTCATACAATTGTATTAAGTTGATCGATAAATAGATCATAGAAGAAAGATAAATTGATCAATAAATAGATAAAGAAGAAACCCTTTTTCAAAAGTGATTTTTAAAATCTTTAAATAGTTTTTTAAAATCAGGTTGACAAAACGTTTTGTTTCTTTCTTTTTTCATTGATTATCTTTAAAAATTTAGTTTATCCACCTTCACATATTTTTCTGATATCATTAATTCAAGACAATAATTTATTAAAAAAAAATTCCTCTTGAGTATTTATTTTGACTAGTGAAAAAAGATAAAAATAAAGTTTGTTAAAACACTAAATAATAATTTTTTCAAGTATTTTTTCTTCCAGATCATTGTCATCGAGCCCAATATCAATCTCAGGCTAAATTAAAAAAAAAAAAAAAAAAAAGGTTTTCTAAGCAACGCTTGCAGCTGTATCACTTTAGACCCTCTAACTTGGCAAGGAGTTCAAATCACATCAAGTCATAAATTTTTAGATATAAATTAGATTATTTTAATTCTGAATGTAAATTTTACAGTAATTGAGCTTAATCTACTCAAAAAATATTATGAGTTAATTAAGTTACCCCTTAATTCTTTATCTCAAATTATCTTAAATGTCATTTTAATGCTGTTGATATAACTTTTTTTAACATTTAGATATTATTCCTTCTACAAGATCCAGTAACAGTGAATGTTCCTCAAATGTAGTTCATCACAATTCCACTGGGTTTCAAGTATTATGTATTTGCAATAATAAAGATGTCTTTATCTTGGTTCCTGGTTTCAATTTAACTGAATGTTTTAGTTCTAACAAGTTGTCTACTGTCAGCTTTATTGGTTGCATAAATTCAATTTTAGCAATTTTCCTATCTATAGTTGCGTATATTGTGTTCAGGTAAAATGAATATCTAATATTCAAGTTTTTAAGGCTTTTATAAACGAAAGTAATGATAATATATACTTTCTGAGAAACGGAAACAACTTTCAAAATAAATTACTAACACATTAAGAAAAAAAAAAAATAGTTGATAATTTTTTAATTAAGTAATAAAAGTTATTATGGTGTTGGCAAAAAGATAGTCGCGTAAAAAAAAGATAGTCGCGTAAAAAAAAGATAGTCGCGTAAAAAAAAGATAGTCGCGTAAAAAAAAGCAAAACTATTATTCTAGTACAAAATTTGCTGAAGGTCAACTTTAAGCAAGAAAATTTGCTGAAGGTCAACTTTAAGCAAGAAAATTGCAATAACAGTCGTGCAATTATTATTGGGCACCATTACCACCACTACCATCACCAGTAATTAATGATTGCTTTATAGAAATAATGAAAAGTTTTTAAAAACTAAAAGTTTTTAAAAATTTTTTAACTTTATTAAAAATTAAAAAAATTTATTAAAAAAAATATTTGTAAAAAGATTTTCTTTTCTAATTTTTTTTGATCTTGTGCTTCATTATGCATACTAATGATGCTCTCATGCGTACTATTTATTCATAATAATTATAGTATTATTAATGATGTATCAATCACAATTAGCATCAGCTCACAGCGGAGCTGAGTATCAATGCTTACAGCGGGACTCAGGGTGGCCCATTTTTTGATCAAAAGTGTGGTTTAGGAGATCTATGTGTGTTGGTTTTACAATTATATATATATATATATATATATATATATATATATATATATATATATATATATATATATATATATATATATATATATATATATATATATATATATATATATATATATATATAAATGATTATTATATTTTCTTGTATATTTAAGCATTGATCGGAAGGTCCTTAAGAATAGTTTTTGACTGATAAAGTTTTTTTTTAGGAAAATAGGGCTAAAATATGAAAAAGTGTTGCAAAAAAAAATTTTTAACTTTAATGTAGGTGGAAAATTGAAATACCATGGCTTACAAGGTAGCCTTAAAATTTATTAATTATAAATATGCTCTAGAAAAAATTTAGTGCAAGGTGTAATCCACACTTTTTTGAAATTTTTTTTTTAGTGATGCAAATCTGATTGATGCAAATAATGATTGAAATTTGATTTTGAGTGATCCTTGTAAAATGCCACTTTTCTGCTCCTGTAACCAGTCATCCAGAGTTTTTAAATATTTTAAATATGACATTTTCAGTAATTATCCAAACTTTAAATTTAATTATGTTCATACTTATGTCAAAGGAAAATGCTTTGCAAAAAAGGCAGTGATTAGAGCCAGAGAACAAAATAACCCTAACAAATTTACTGTCCCTAGCCCAAATGCGAGGAGAGTGAATTTAAAAAGTAAATAAATTCACTATTTTATACTAAATCTAAATTCATCAACAGGCTTTAAAATTTATCTCATTATTATTAGGCGTTTAAAAGTTATGATTATGTAAATTTTACAACGATCTTTTTTTTTGAGGGGGTGTGGGTCATAACTTTTATTTATCATAGGGAGATTGGTCAAACCTTTTAAACACTAAAAGATAAATATTTAAAGTCTGAAACCTGTTAATGAATTTAAATTTAGTATAAGGTAAAATATATTAGTTATTGATCGCTCTAGCATTTTGGTCGGAGAAGCGAATCTTATCAGGTGTTTTTGTTCCCAGGCTCCAGTCACCACTATTTTTCCAAAACATTCTAACAGCCTAAACATTTACATTAGTATTTTAATATTTCTTTTAATAAAAATATTTATTTTATCATATTGTATTCTATTAAAAACACTTTAATAAATCTTTGTCAAGAGCTGTTTTTGTGCAAACGGTACATCACTAAAAATTATGCGTACTTAATTTAATTTTGTTAACATCATCGAACACGACTGTTTTCCAATTACGTTAACTAGTTTAAGCCTTTAAATAATTAATTACGTTAATATTGCTATCAAATCTCATAAATTGTGTTGTTTGTATTTATTTAAAAGAAATCATCGAAAAGTTCCAGAGAAAATACTTATAAGTTTTTTCTGCTCTTTGCTGTTCTTGATTGTTACGCTTCTTATCGGAATAAAAGAAACATACAAACCACGCAGTTGCCATGCAGTTTCAACGTTACTTCATTTTTTTACTCTAACTAGTTTTGGGTGGATGTCTGTAGAGTTCCTTAGCATATATAGAAATGTGTTTCATCGCTATCAAGGAAGCAGGTTTTTCTATACCATGTCCGCCTCAACATGGGGTAAGCACACTTTTGTAATTTTTAATTAAATTCGTTTATTTGTTCTAGCTTTTTTTTTTTTTTTTTTATTAAAATAGTTTGTAAATTTTAACTAAATTCATCTATTTGAAATAGTCTTTTATTTTATTTTTTTTATTTTATTAAAAAAAACTCCTTTAAATATAATTTAAATATAATTTTTTAACACACTCTTTTTAAATATAATTTGTATCAGGATTTTCGGCTATTGTTGCTGGTCTTACTAGTTTGTTTACTAAAGTTTTGTTCAATGGATTAAATAGCAGGCGAGTATTCCATAAATTATCTAAAAAAACCTTTAGGACTTCCCTCAAGACCCTTAAACATCGGGTCTCTAATATAAAAAAAGCAATTCTTCAAAAGTACAAAAAAATCCTCATGTTAGGTCTCAGAAGAAGTGAAATCATATAAAGTTTTAAAATTTATCGCCATTTCATATAAAACATTGAAAAATAAAATTGTAATCAAAAAGTTTTGTAAAAATGCATTTTTTACATTTTTAGTTAAAAATCATTTTCTAAGCAGTAAAATCTAAAATATTTTTTTACTTTTTTCGAGTTAAAACTACTTCACTTCTTTTGAGATACTTATATGATATATTATTTAAAATATACTCATTGAGATATTTATATGATATTCTTTTTAAGAATTATTTTTTTGATTATATTAGGTACGTGTCTGATGTTTAAGTACCTTAAGGGACCCACTAAAAAAATATTTATTTTTTATTTTTTAAATTCCGTATTGTTTCATCATCGAATACATATCGTCCCTTAGCTAACAACACCGCATAAGTCATTTTTACCAACTTTACAAGAGACGACAAAAAACGGTCTATTTCAAAAAATCGGTGTAATGTTTCTTTTTTTACTTAATAAATACCCAAGTTAGCGAATAAATAATAATAATTTTGACTAATTATGACGATTTACTCTATTTTAACTTTTATTTTATGACTAGGGCTGTATTGACTGGTAAAAACCGTTAAAAATCGACTTGAGCGGTGTTGTAAGCTAAGGGACGATATTTATATATATATATATATATAAATATATATATATATATATATATATATATATATATATATATATATATATATATATATATATCATATGTTTTTTCCCCTCATGTTTTTTCAATATTTTTTCAATGGCATTAACATTTTTAACTATAATTTTTAAACTTATGTTTTATGTCTGTTTATTTTAATATCAATGTTTATTTTCTTTAAATTGATTTTTAGTTGCTACGTTGGTGGCAAAATGTTTATTGCTTTAACAGTTCTGCCAATAACTTGTACTGTGCTGCTGGATCTCTTATTATTGTTTAAAGTTGTTCGCAAGCTTCAAAGTCATTCGCCTATAATGAAAAAATACCGCTCAAGGAAATTATTGCTTGCCAGAATTAGATTCATATTTACGTGTTTTGTACTTCTAATTTTAGCATGGGTATTTGGCGTTTTAGCTATATTAAATTTCAGAACTTCTTACCAATGGGTTTTCAGTGTAATTAATTCTATTCTAGGATTTTATATTTATATTGACACCATGAAGCATGTTGCAGTTAAAAAAGCTAACCGAATACCAGAACTAACTTTAAGAAAGTCTGATTTAAGAACGGTTATGATGGAATTAAAAGCGTAATTATTGTAAAAATAAGTTGAATAAAATTTAAATAAAATATATAAACATAAATGAAATATTTTTTAGAAAAGATATTCTGAGAAATTTTTTAAAATACCATAGTTCATTAAAGCCTATGTGTGTCTTATATATGTATAAATGTATATATATATATATATATATACATTTATATATATATATATATATATATATATATATATATATATATATATATATATATATATATATATATATAAATGTATATATATATATATATATACATTTATACATATATATATACATTTATATATATATATATATATATATATATATATATATATATATATATATATATATATATATATATATATACATATATATATATACATATATATATATACATATATATATATGTATATATATATATATATATATATATATATATATATATATATATATATATATATATATATATATATATATATATATATATATATATACATATATATATATATACACACACACACATATATATATATATATATATATATATATATATATATATATATATATATATATATATATATATATATATATATATATATATATATATATATATATATATATATATATATATATATATATATATTTATACATATACAGCCGGCGGATTTAAGGTCGGCATGCGGCAATAATAACCTAACTGCATACCTGACAGCATCATCTGAGATTTACTTAGCTTTAATGTTGTTCTATTTGTTGTAATTTGTTGATGAAAATATTAGCTTTCTTTATATTTAGTAACAATGCTTTTTTATGAAGTATATCTATATAGTAATGATGCTTTTTTATGAAATATTATGATATAGACGTTTATGCATTTTTCTAATTATTTATTCTGCGTTTTGATTTTCGACCCTTTTTTTTTTTAATATTTGGCTCAATATTTATGGGGAAACATCTTCATACGTCTACAGTCTTTGCCGTGAGTGATTTACCCCTTAGCATTGTTGAGCTGGCGTGCGCAATTTTAGAACATTTTTTTTTGTTGCTATTTAATACAAACTAAAAAGCAGCAGATCGAACTTTTTACTTAAATTATTACTTAAAATTATACTTAAATTATTACTTAAAATAATAGGAAAATGAAAAAAAAAAGGTTTTATTTTAATTTTGAATCCAAATATTATTTAAATTGTAAAGAAAACAATTGGAGCAAATAAGCAAACGTCGATCTTTGAAAAAAAAATCTATTATTATATCATGCTCATTTGTTTTGAAACCAAATCAAATGAGCATAATATAATAAAAAGGTAAAATTTTTCATGCAGTAAATGTGCACAATACAGTACTATAAACGGCAAAACACATTTTATTAAGGGGTAATTCCACATCAAATCACCCAAAATTTATAAAATTTTGAACCATGCTTCCTCAAATTTTTTAAAAACTTCTTTGGCTGTTGCATCTTTTAAAAAAAAGTTAAAACATAAAATTTCTGGTTGACAAGATACTGCAATTTTAACATTGACTCGGTTTTCATTACATTCTAAAAAAACATTTTTCTTTAAAAGAGTAAGAAATAAAAATGGCAAATATATGAAAATAAATGCATATAATGTTTTTTTGATTCCGAATTCAATAAATGTACTTAAAATGCTGAAATATAAAAAGAACATGCTTAAAAGTTAATAAAACAACTACTTTCTATAATCCAACTTTGGGGCCCAATCTCAAAACACCCCCGTCAAAAAATTTTTTTTTTCGTTGTTAATATTTTCAACTGCTTATAATCTTACTAGGCACAAAATATCTGACTGGAAAAACAACTAAAACATATGGAACTTTAATTTTAAAGATATATCAAATTTTCAATAAATTAGTTTAAAAAACTTGCAAATAGAATTTTGTAAAATATTAAATTTAGTTTATAGACTCCTTAGAAAAAAACAAAATTATTTTGTTATATTTAAGAAAGTCTTAACCATATAATAAATTTGTTATTTGATCTTAACAACTGAAAAAAAACATCCTGTTTTGTTTTTAAAATCTGAGTAGGTGTGATATTGAAGTGCATTTGTTTTTAATATTATGACAACTATAATTTGTAAAAGTTTATAAAAACTAGTTTATAAAAAGTTCAGTGATAACAACATTTATCGATAAAATTTTATTTAAATTTTAAAAATTTGATATATATTGATTGTATATGTATAAATATCTATAAAGAAAATTAACAATATCTATCAATGTAAAAAATTATACAACAGAAGGATTCTGAAAAGGTTTGAATTATTTCTATTATTAATTTTTTTTACTCAAAATTATGCAGAAAAGAAGAATGTTTTCCTTTTTTTTTTAGGAAATACATTCATACTAAGTAACTTATTATAAGATGTGTTCTATTGACTTACTGACATCAGATGAATGCAATGGCCAACAGATGTTATTGAAATTAATTGAAATTTTAAGCAATGAAGAAAAAATAACTATATCATTACGCTGTAACATTGAGCTATCAAACTTAACGATATTATGTAAAAGACATACTACAAAATATTTGAAATTGTTTCCTGTATGGCAGAAAGCATGTTGTGATCCATTCAATAAACATACAAAGAAAATCACAAGTAAGTAAATGTAGAATTTAAATATTATATATATATATATATATATATATATATATATATATATATATATATATATATATATATATATATATATATATATATATATATATATATATATATATATATATATATATATACACACTTTTTTAATTTGTATTTTCTAAAACATAAACAATGTTTTAAACAATTGTGCAGATAAGCTTTATACAATTCAATTACTTTTAGAAAATCTCATAGTAGTTACAATAAATGAGTCACAAATCATGATGAGAATTAGTTTGAATATTGCTCCTGGGCAGAAACTTTGCAAACCTTGTAAACAAAAGATTGCCATAAAAGAAAATCTTAAAGAAAAGAAACAAAGTCAGGGTGAACAAGATGAGGATTTTCTAATATCATCATTCAAATCAAAAACACAGGAGATTAATGAAGAACTCAAAAATTTTAATATATCTTCTCTAAAATCTCATTCAAATCATTAAAACATATTCTCTTAGAAGGAAAGCGAAAAATTGCGCGCATCAACGAAATGGTAAATAATGTTACTGGAAAAACTGAAAGTCAAGTCAATGTTCCCTCAAAACTGTGTTATGAAACAAATAACATGAAAAAGAAGGCGGAAAACTTTGATGAAATTATAAACTTGATAAAAAAAAAATTCTATATTCTGACAAAAGGACTATTGTTCAACTTCTAACACTGGCACCCCCAAGTTGGTCGATATTAGAAGTACAAAATAACTTTGCAGTTACAGAATACCAAGCAAAGATGGCTAGACAAGTTTTTAATAAAAAAGGATTGTTAGCTATCTCTCCATTGTATAAAGATAAAGTCTTACACAAAGAAATAGAAGGTTATAAAGAAATAGAAGTGATTTATGTAGAACTATGTTTGGAAAAAAAGATTATGTTAGCATTCAAAAGAACATCCTTAAACAAAAAAAACTGCTTTTGCGTAATTTAAAGGAACTATATGTATTATACAAAGAAAACAATCCAGAAATACAAATAAGTTACTCAAAATTTGCTTCACTTAGACCAAAGTGGTGCATTTTGCCAGGTGGTACACATTCTGTTTGTGTTTGTTGTTATCACCAAAATGCCATATTGCTAGTAGATGGCTTAAATAATGAACTAAAGTATAAGGATTTACTTTCAAAAACCGTTTGCTCAGTAGAAAACAAAGAATGCATGCTTGCACAGTGTGATAATTGTCCTGGTAAAGAAACCCTCACCAAATATATGTATAAGATTTTTGGAGAATACGAAGATGATTTTGAAATACACTACAAGCAATGGCAAACTACTGATCATGCAACACTATTGAGTTTAACAGCAGATGTTTCAACGTTTGTTAAACTATTAGTATCTTGCTTTGAAAAGCTACAAGCTTATTCTTTTATTGCTCACTCTCAATCACAGTACCTTAACTAAAACAAAATATGGATCAATCAAACATTATCATTATTGGCGACTTTGCTGTAAATTATACTTTTGTAGTCCAAGATGAAATACAAAGTTATCATTGGAACACCCAACAATGTTCTTTACATCCATTAGTGATATACTATAAAGATGATAAAGGTGTAATGAAACATATTTCCTACTTTTTTATATCAGACAACATTACACATGATGTAACTTATGTGTACAAAATATTTCAACTAATCATACCAATATTAAAAACAAAATTCTCCAATCTGTCCAAATTACATCTATTCACTGATAGTTGCGCAGGACAGTACAAAAATTGTAAAAGCTTTTACAATCTATGCCAACTAGAGAGGGAATTTTTCCTTAAAGTTGAATGGAACTTTTTTGCCATGTCCCACGGAAAGTCACCAAGCGATGGGATTGGCGGTACTGTAAAAAGGTTAACAGCTAAAAAGTTTAAAACGACCATACAGAAACCAAATTCTCACATCAGAAGCTATGTATGAATTTTGTATTGAGAAAATCAAGTTTATTAACTTCATTTACATAAAGGGGATAGACTTACAATTGCAACGTGAGGAGCAAAAAAAAAGGTACACTGATCTAACAACTCTACCTGGTTATACATCTTGGAGATATCAGGGTTGGGGCAAAGAGGTGTAGTACAGACACTAATTACACAATAATTCACGACCTTAAAAAGAAACAAGATATAATTCAACTTCATACTGTCACTTGAGGAGGTTATGTAGCTGTAGTCTATGATGATAAGTGGTGGATCGGCATTGTAACTGAAACCAAACTAAAAGAAGTTGATGTTAAAATTAAGTTTCTTCACCCAAAAGGTCCATCAATCTGTTTTAACTGGCCTGAAAGAGAGAAATACTGTTTTATTCCTGACACCAACATATTGAAAAAACTATCTGTTCCACAAGCTTGCTCTAGTTCCGGTAAAAACTATGTGCTTGAAAATGCTGAAATAGAAGAAGTACAAGTTTATGTAAACAAT